GTTGAGGAGGAGGTTGAGGGAGGAGGGAGGAGGGAGGAGAGGGGGGAAGATGGAGGAGGGAGGAGGGAAGAGGAAGGAGGGAGGAGAGAGGAGGGGGGAGGGAGGAGGAGGAGGGAGGAGGAGGGAGGAGGAGGAGGAGGAGGAGGAGGAGGAGGAGGAGGAGGAGGAGGAGGAGGAGGAGGAGGAGGAGGAGGAGGAGGAGGAGGGGGTCTGGGGTCGATCCCCTTCTCCTGCTGCGCCCGCCAAGCCTCCGCACGGGGCCCGAGCGCAGCGCCGCCGCCGCCGCCGAGCAGCGGAGCGTTGAGGCCGCCGCCTGGCGCGGCCGCGGCGGTCGCACCTGGGAGGCATCCCAGGCCCCGTCGACGACCCTTCCGTCCGGCCTGCCCCTCTACGGGAAGAATATTCAAACATAGTCCAAAAATAGTCTGGGGACTATGTTTCAGTATGTTTGCATATATGTTGAAACTTTCTTTGGGTAGTTTCAACTGTCCGTCCAAAATCCGCCCGTAGGATGACACGTCCGACTTAAGACTACCCTGACGTGCCAGAGTGCTAAAACATAGTTCTCCAGACCTGCAGACCTGTCTGGACTGCCCAAAAACCCTCGACAGGAATTCAGATGTCGAGGTCCTGGTGCTATTCTTTAGCCTTCCTGGAAGGTCAGGGTAGAGGCCTCCTAGAGGCCTCCCAGGTGGGGTCGGAGTACACTGGGTCGGGGGATCGCGCCGCATCGCGGGTACATCGGCGGTGCATCGGCGATGCATCGGCGATGCATCGTCGACGTGGGCGATGCATTGGCGACGTCGACGCGAAGCACATCGGGCTCCACATCCAGCCGCCCTATCGCCGATACATCGGCGATGCGGCGCGATCCTCCGACCCCATCTACGACCCCATCCAGGAGGCCTAGACAGACCCCCCTAGGGTCATGAAAAAATCACGACGCGAAGTTTGGCCTCTGGGGGCCCTCCCCGGGCCTCGGGACCGCCAGAAAACGACTCGGAAGGAGGAAAAACTGGTCCGGGGGAGGAGGAGGAGGAGGAGGAGGAGGAGGAGGAGGAGGAGGAGGAGAAAGGAGGAAAAAGGAGGAGGAGGAGAAAGGAGGAGGAGGAGGAGGAGGAGAAACGAGGAGGAGGAGGAGAAAGGAGAAGGAGGAGGAGGACAAATCTGTCCTTGAGCAATGATTCTGGACCTCTGACGGTCGCGTCACAAACAAAAAAGACATGACGTCGGGGGAGTGGGCCCGTGGAGTCCAGGAGAAAAACAAAAAAAACGCCACAAACCATAACTATAGAATCGGGTGGGGCGTGTTCTCCTATAGGCAAGTTCTGGACGACAAATAAGACATATCGAAAGATATTCAAAAATAGCCAACCATAATCACAGAAAACAACCCCTGACGATGATCTGCCATTCTTGAATACTCCTCCTGTAGAGGGACACGCCCGACTACACCCAGACCCCGTCGACTCTAGGAGAAGAGAAAACGCCATCAACCTGAAACCTAGAATCAGGTCGGGCGTGTCCTGCTACAAGCGAAGTTTGGAAGAAAAAGGAACCATAACCAAACAGTTTTCAAACATGGCCAAGACAAGACGGCAAATCGTCCCCCGACTATTTATTTACCATTCATGAATATTCCTCCTGTATAGGGACACGCCCGATTTAACCCAGACCCCATCGAGACTAGAAGAAGAAAAAACGCTATATACATCAAACTGTAGGCGCTCCGCGCGGATTTGTGATGATCCGCGACGGACCCGCTCCGCGGCGCGCAGAGCGCGCCGGGGGCGGCGCCGGGGGCGGCGCTGGAGGGGCCCAGCGCGGATCCAAGATGCCCGCTCGGAGCGCCAAAAGTTTAAAACAATATATACATATATATATATATATATGTATATACATACATATATATATATACATATACATATATATATATATGTATATATATATATATAAACATATACATCTATATATATATATATATTCAAACATCGTCCCAAACGTAGTCGAAAGATCCTCCCCAGACTATTGTTTTACTATTCTTGAGCGTTCCTCCTGTAGCGGCACAGGCCCGACTTAGAGCAGCGTCGGATCTCAGGGAGCGGCACTCTCTTCCAGGCAGGCCGCGGAGGGCGGGCGAGGCGCTCGCGCGGCGTCGGCCGCGGGGGCGCGCGCGGGCCAAGCGCCAGCAGGCAGGAGCTCGGAGCGGCGCGGCGGAGGGCTGGTGACTGCTCTTTGACTCGGCCACCGGACTATGCTGACTGTATTCGAATACACTCGACCGGGATAGTGAGGGTGCGCAGGAAGGGTGCGAGGGCCCTGGAAGGCCATGCTGACGTTTCTCGTGTGCGGAGCGCAGCAGAATGCCGGGGGGTGCCGAGTACCGAGGGGGCAAGGATGCAAGGGTGGCCTTGGAAAGCTGCCCCATCCTTGCCAGCCTGGCTGCCAGGAAGGGACAGGCCCCCGACTTCAGCGTGGCCCTCGGCAGCCAGCCCGCGCCCCTGGGCGGGTGGGCTGCATCGGGTCCCCTGTCGGCGATCAGGTACGCGATTGGGGGTGGTCGAGGGCGCGTCCCCCCCCCCCCCTGAGCCTCTCCCCCCAAGGGATCCTCGTCGCGGGGCCCTCGGGAGATGCAGGCCGCGGAAAAAAATAGCGAACACGCGCGCCACGCTCATCTGTCAACGCCCCCCCCCCCTCCCCCTGATGTTCAAGGTTGGCGGTGGATCTGATGAGCTGCACCTCGACCGCGGTCTCCCCCCGCGCGTGCCAGCTTTGAGTTCGGGGGGAGGGGGGGAGTGTGCAGTGTGTTTCCCTCTGCCGGATGGAGGTGGGCATGCGCTACGAAGAGCGGCACTCCCAGACCTTCGGCGCACTGAAAGATCAAGACGGGCTTCTGTTCGCAGTGCTCGGCCTCGGGGGCTGAGCGCTTCGAGGCGGCCCAGGGAGGGCCCGCCTGCGTGGATGGGCCCTGATGGCCCTGCAGCCGCTTGCGGGCTGCGACGGGGTCGAGGAAACCCTGATGGGGGCGCCCGAGGTCGCAGGTGGAAGGCCGTCAGAAATCTAGACGCATCGTACGCATCCACCAGTTCGAGGTGAGCTGCCTTCTTCTTGCGCAGCAGACTATCATCAGGTCGGGCATCTCCCCCCTACAGGCGGATTCTGGGCGACAAACCGAAAAACGAAACACGAATTGAAAACATCGAAAACAAAACAACTGGTCATAAAATGGTCCAAACATGGTCCCCAGACTATGCTTTCCTATTCTGGAATACTCCTCCTGTGGAGGGCCACGCCCGACTCGGGACGACCACCAGGACCCGCACCTCTGCGGTGCACGCCCGCAATGCAGGCACGGGACGCCACGGGGGATCCGCTCCGCAGAGCTGGCTCCCCGCCTGGATGCCAGCGTTAGGTCGGGCCCGTCCCCCTACAGGGGGATTTCGGACGAAAACTTAACAATACTCAACAAGTCCTTACAAGATGCCAAAAAATACTCACAAATACTCCTCATACTATGTTTCCACTATTTGGGCATATTCCCCCTGTAGAGGGACAGGCCCGACTTAACGCAAGCACGGGACGCCACAGGGAACCAATGTCCAATTCTATCGGGGATCTTCTGCCCCGGGCCAATCCAGACCTGGGTCAGTCAGGCCTTGCATCAGGTCGGCCATGTCCTCCTACGGGCGGATTCTGCAAGACAGGTGAAGAATAGTCAGAAAGTTTTCGGAGATAGTCAGGAAATACTATTCGAAAGAAGTATTCGAAAATGGTCGAAAAAATGTTCGGAAAAGCATTCGTCAAAAATTAATCACCCGACTACTTTTGTTACTGTTTAAGCTTTGCAGAATCCCGCAAGATCCTGCGAAATTCTGCACCCAAACCGTCCTGCAAGATCCTGCAGGATCCTGCACCCAAACCCGGGTCAATGTGACCCTGGCCCTGCAAGATCATGCAAGCAACGGCGCTCTGATTGACCCCCGTTTGCATCGACCACCGTCTCAAGGCTCCCGAATCTAGTTCCCCACCTGGACGCCATCACGGGACGCCACACGGAACCAGACATCGGCGAAGAAGTACGACACTCCTGCAACGAATTGGGAAAATCAAAACGGGAGATTGTCGCAGTTTTCGGTCTCTGGGGGCCCTCGCTGGGCCCCAGGGCCGTCAGAACTCTACTCTGGAAGAAAAACCTTCCAGGGGAAAGGTTGGGCGTCGCTTAATGGGGGGACGATAAAATGAGGGGGGGAAGGGGAGGACGGGTGCACGTCTCCGGCCCCAAAGGGCACCTTCAATGGCCCTAAAGGGCCCCTTTCCTGAAGCCCTCGCTGCACCCCCCATTTATCGCCCCGCTCCTTTCGGGGGCGCGCAAACATGGATTCACGATCCATGGATTTGGCGCGCGGACGCCAAATCCATGGATCGGGGAAGTGCCCTCCCCAAAATGTGGCCGGTGCCGCCTCGCTCGGCAGCGGAAATCCGCGATGTCCCATGGAAACGGGGCCCGTCGCTAATCCACGCCCCCTTGATCCATGTTTGCCATCGCCTGACCATTGGCGCGACGCCCACGAAAGGGTTTCGGGAACTGGGGGGGCCAGGCACGGAACAAGCCGGCGAGGAGGAGCGTCGCTCTGGGGGCCGCCCTCTCTCCTCTATACCAGGCTTAGGTCGGGCATGTCCCCCTACCGGCGGATGTTGGAGGAAACATTGAAAGTCGTCAAAAAAAACATTCAAGAAGAGTCAAAAATAGTCAAAAATCCACCGATTCTTTTTTTGAATATTTCTCCTGGAGAGGGACATGCCCGACTGAATACCAGGCGGGGGGCTCCTCGGAGGGCAGGTGGCTCCGTGGAGAAGGACCGGGGAGCTTCCAGGAAGCGGCCGCGCGACGAGAACGGGGCACGATAGTGATCTCACCCCCGCGCCTCTGCGAGGGGGCCTATCTGGGCACTCTCGAAGCCTCCGGAAAGGTCCGCGCGAACTTCTCTCCGGTCCGCGCGGCACGCCCCCGCCCCGCACTCTCGTCAAGGGGGCCCAGGGACACTCAGACAAACGGACACAAATCCCAGGATTCCCCATATTTCCCGTCTTCCCCCCCACTCCCCCATCTTGTCCTAATTACATCTGCCCGGGAATCGCCGATTCGTTGTGTCCGTGTTGTTTCCCCTCCGCCCTCGGGCGCGAATCAGGGGGGGGGGGGAGAGAAACGAGCGCCTTTCGTGCCCCTCTCGGGCCCCCAGGGGGAGGCCCCCTTGGGGCCCGTTGGGGCGCGAGAAGGCCGGCGCCGCTCCTCCGGTCCGCGCTGCACGCCGGGAGCCCTCGGGCCTGCTGCCAGCAGTGCCCCCCTGGCCCGCGGGGGCCCCCGGGCTTCCAGGGAGGCCCCACGGCTTCCGGAGGCCCCGGGGGGGGCCCACGGGCGGGGCTCCAGCGTGGAGCGAGCAGCTGGGGGCCCCCCATGGGCCAGGAGCACCTTCAGCAACCGCCCGAGCTGCGCCCCCTCCCGGCGGCGCCTCCGGGTCGCGGGAGGCCTCCCGAGTGAGCTCCGCACCCGTGGGGCCGGAGGGTCGCGCCGCACCGCCGACGCAGCGCCGATGCTTCGGCGACGTGGGCGATGCGTCGGCGCCGTCGGCGTGGAGACAGTTGGGCTCCATCCACACGGAGCCGCATCGGCGATGCATCGGCGATGCGGCGCGATCCTCCGACCCCACCTGCTCGAACCCCATCTGGGAGACCTGGAGGCCCCGCTCCCAGCGCGCTCCGCGCGCCAGGGAGGGGGTGTGGGAGGGGGGGAGGCCCAGCGACGACCCAAGAGACGGACCTCCGAGGGGAGTCCCAAGGCCGCGTGGTGACAGACCGCGCGGTGACCTCGGAATCCTCAGCCGGCCTCACCGCGCGGTCCGTCACCGCACGGTTCGGGACCCTGGAGGCCCCAGTCGCCCGAGGCATCCTCGGAGAGCGACCCGAGTCCCACCAAACCCGCGCCGTGACCCCGAATCCCCGCCGACTCACTACGCGGTGTGGTCACCGCACCGTTTCGGGGCCCCGAGTCGTTTCGGCATCCTGGCACCGTCCCCGGAGAGGCTGCTGTCCACGGAGACCAGGCTCCCCTCGGTGTCGGCCGCGGTCGAGCTGCCGCCGACGCTGACCAGGCTGCCCTCCGTCTGCGCCCTGCGCAGCCTCTGCTCGACCCCAATGTAGCTTTCCGGCCGCCGGTGCAGGTGGCGCAGCCCGTGCAGCGCCTTGGGGAGGCCGGCCAGGCGCTCCTGTGGCACGAGGGCAGCGGGTAGCAGACCCCGAGGCATTCCCGAAGGGTCAAAGCTGACAGTGAGGAGGCGCGCTCGGGACGCAAGAACCCCTTGGACGCCCGTAGTGAGGCTTCTTCGAACGCGGCGGGGCAATGAAAGTGGTCTAGGGTCCAGGATGGGCCGAAGAGGCACGGATGCAAGGGTACCCTTGGGAAGGTTACCCACCCTTGCCCTCGATTTCGACTGCACGAGGCAGGGATAGATCCATGTCCCCACCGCCCTGGGAGCCGGCCCCCCAGCGGGCGGTGGACATGGATACAGTTTGGCCCAAGGGGGGGGCCCGAGGATGTCCATGTCCACCGCCTGCCGAGGTCCACGAGGGCCGAACCCCCCGCGGCGGTTACAGTGGAGGCCACTCCACAAGAAACCTTCCACAAGAAACCCAACCCTGAGACCCCAGGACGCCCCTGGACTTTTGGTGAGGGAACGCCACGCTCTCCATCGCAGAACCATCGAAACCCAAGAGACCCAGGGCACCCTGGAGGCAAGCGGCAAGCAGGGTGCTTCTTGGCATGGGCCTCCACTGTATCTGCGGGCCCCCCGCCTCGGACTCCTCCCGGGCCAGCTCTTCGGCCGCCTGCACGCGGGGGTGGCCCTGGGCGAGAGCCGCCTCTGGCGCGCGGCTCTCGGGGGGGCCCCGGGGAGGGGGGGCGGCGGGGGTGCAGCTCCACGCGCGCCAGCCACTGGGGGACCCTCTGGTAGGGGGCCACCGATCTGGGGCCCGCACCTGAGGCCAATCCGGAGAGGGGCCACTCGTGCGCGTGGCCGATTCGAGCTGACGTCCTTTGGCAGACCTGGGGGCCGCGGAGGGACCTCGGGAGGCCAGAAACGGCCACCAGCAGCCCGCTGCCAAGGCCGTACCCTGCGACAGCGAAACCGAAAGCCGACCGAACCGACAGCGAGACCGCAACCGGCCGGAACCCCCAGGCCGCAAGCAGCCCAAAGCGCGCAGCGACGCGGCAACGACACGAGAGCCGACCGAACCGAAGCCGACCCGACGCAGCCGACTGCGACGCAACCGAACCGACTGGACCGCGAACGCCCTGGGCGGAAGGCTCAGGCAGGCCAGAAACGGCCCCAGAGACCTCCAGGACCCGTGTCATCAGGACCCCTCTGCTCCACTCGGCGGCGCGCGACGGGGGGAAAGTGGGAAGGAGAAGGCGGCGGGGCTTCTCAGAAGCCCCGGGGCCTTCTGGGAGGCGTTCCGTGCCTTCGGGAAGGCCCGGGGACTGCCGAGCCTCCCGAGAAGGCCCGCCCCTTCCCGCCACACCGGGCCCGCCCCTTCCCGAATACCCCCCTGGGCTCGCCGCCGCTCCACGACTGCCGAGCCTCCCGAGGAAGGCCCGCCCCCGTGCCGCCACGCCGGCTCCTGCTCCGCCAGTGCCGCACGGTACTCCGACGTCGTCTGGCAGGCCACGTACTGGTCGCAGGCGCGGAGGCCCAGCCCGATGCCCAGCGCGAGCGTGGTGGCCAGGGCGATGGCCGCCTCCAGGGCGAACGGGGCCGACGGGTTCCGCTCGAGGAGGGCGGGGCCGAGGTAGCCCCCCACGAGCGAGCACGCGCAGCCCACGACCTCGGAGACGCCCATGACGTAGACGGATCGGGGGGCGCCAGCTGAGCCACCCCACCGACCCCTGACTGGGCCGACCCTGGGGCCCCGCATCGGTGCATGTCGCGCGCGGGGGACATGACCCGTTCGCATCCACGGCCTCGCGGGCCTGGCCGGGGTTCGCGACCCCGTGGGCGCGGGGGCGTTTTTTCGCGGCTGCCCCGCGCGGAGCGTGAATCCATGGCGACTGTGCACCCTCGGGACTACGCCACGGGATCCAGACCGCGAGGGCGTGGATATGGGTACGTTCGCCACTAGTGTGTGTGTGTGTGTGTTGTGTGTTGTGTGTTGTGTTGTGTGTTGTGTGTGTTGTGTGTGTGTGTGCGTGTGCGTGTGCGTGTGCGTGTGCGTGTGCGTGTGCGTGTGCGTGTGCGTGTGCGTGTGCGTGTGCGTGTGCGTGTGCGTGTGCGTGTGCGTGTGCGTGTGCGTGTGCGTGTGCGTGTGCGTGTGCGTGTGCGTGTGCGTGTGCGTGTGCGTGTGCGTGTGCGTGTGCGTGTGCGTGTGTTGTGTGTGCATTGTGTGTGGTGTATGTGGTGTGTGGTGTGCGTGGTGTGTGTGGTGTGCGTGTGTGTGGTGTGTGTGAGTCTGTGTGTGTCTGTGTCTGTGTGTGTGTCTGTGTGTGTGTCTGTGTGTGTCTGTGTGTGTCTGTGTGGTGTGTCTGTGTGTGTGTCTGTGTGTGTGTCTGTGTGTGTCTGTGCGTGTGTGTCTGTGTGTGCGTGGATCCGACTCAGGATGGGCCCCGCGAGGATCGGTGAGGTGGGCAACTGGCGTCGCCCGAGATGGAATTGCTCATGTCCAGCACGCCCGTGAGGCACTCAAGCATGGTCACCTGCGCCGTGTATGCGCAGGCGTAGAAGAAATGCACCGACCCCGCTCGCCAGGGGTGAGGCAGCGTTTGGCGGGGACCAGAGCAAGAGTCAGGTCAGTGCTGGGCCCCGAGGTAGTTGTGCTTGAATGCCGCCGGAGCCGCCCGAGCACTGACCCGACCGACCAGCCGTGGAGCCAGCGGCTCAGGGCAACTGTGAGTCAGGTGAGTCCTTCGGCCTCCCAAGACGCTTCGAGCCCCCCCCCACCCCCCACCCCGATCATGCCCGCTGCCTCCTGCAGCCCTGGGCGGCGCCGAAGTTGCCGCGCTCGCCGCCAGGAGAGAGGGGGGGGGGCCGTCGCCAGAGGCACAAAACACGGCGTGAAAACGTAAACTTGTGGCAGACCGCGCGGTTTTCTCGGATCTGAGCTGGACACCCCCCCTGGCGCGCGGAGCGCACCAAGGGCGGCCCCGGAGGCGCCGCCAGGGGGCCCAGCGCAGATCCAAAGGATCCGCGCGGAGCGCCGAAAGTTTACGTTCATGGCGTTCTTGCTCAGTCGACGCCTGGAGTCCTCGAATCGCTCTGGCCACAAGTTCACGTCTCTTCTTCGGCAATATGAAGGGGCCCAGGGGCACGCAAATAGATACACACAAATCCCAGGATTCCCAAGATCCTTCCATTTGGGGGGGATGCTCGTCTTCCCCCCCCCACTTCCCACATTCTCGCATATGCTCCTGGGAATCGTCGATTCGTGGGGTGCCTGTGTGTTTCCTGTCCCTCCGGACAAGAGTTCGCGCGTTCTTCGAGCCGCCCTCGCCACCAGTGGCGCAGGGTCTCGGCCGACCCCAGCGCCGACCCGGCTCCCTCTCTCTTGCTTGATCCCTCGGCGGCAGCTCGTGGGAGCCTCCCAGGCCATCTAGGAGGAGGAGGAGGAGGAGGAGGAGGAGGAGGAATAGGAGGAGGGGGAGGAGGGAGGAGGAGCGAGGAGGGAGGATGAGGGAGGAGGAGGGAAGAGGGAGGAGGGAGGATGAGGGAGGAGGAGGGAGGAGGGTGTGCGAATCGTCGACGCTGATCGACGCTGGTCGACACGAATCGACGCCAAATCGACGCTCATCGACGCCAGCCGACGCTGCATCGGCGCTGTCTCGTCGACTCCCAGACGCTAATCGGCGCTCGTCGGTGCCAAAGACGGAGGTGAAGGGGCATGCCATGCTCCCATGACTTGCTCTATGTTGTTCCCATCGTACTTAAGGACAGCATCCCTGAAGTAATTTCGATCACGCAAAGAAGCATCGAAACAGTGTCTTTCCGAAACGCTGGCGAAGTGCGAATCACGTCTGTGGCCTCCTACTGTGGATACGGAGGCTCTAGTTCACAATGATGGACCGACAATCACACGATGATCTGACCATCGATCGGCCATACGGTGTGCCCGGGTCCAGTCGGCGATGGGACGGAGGGCAACGGAGCGCCATGCGGGGTACAACGCGCACATGCGGCACCGTCTTTGACTCGCATGCCTTCGCGCTGTCTGGGAGTGGTCCTCGGTTCTGTCGGCCAGGACTAAACTTCCCATCGCTCGGACGTCAATTCCCCGTGCATTCTTCGGTTTCGTGCGTGCTTGTTTTGCCTGGTGGTCCAGGATGCTCTTCGATGGTCCTCGCCGGCAAGAAATGCACACGTCCGAGCGATGCCAAGCAAAAGGAAGCTGGACAAACCGACGGCTGGACTCGCGCGTGGAACATCTGGAGGCCACGCGCTGATTTGCAACGTGCGGAGGGCCAGCGCGCCTGTCCGGGCGAGGGCAGGGCGCTGGAAAGACGCACGGCCATACGGCCCCGGTGTGCATCCCGTGCTCGCCCCGGTCGGCCGCGTGAGCTGTGCCCAGCCTCCCGACAGATGGAGGGCGGGCGGAGAGCGCGAAAGCGCCTCGGATAGAGGCCGAGCACGACGGCGCCGAGCGACCCGTCCACCTCGCTCGCCCTTGCCAGCCAGAGCGCCGCCATGCCCACGAAGGTGCCCGCGAAGGAGAGCAGCAGGTTCGTCGGCCGCTTCTGCAGGCAGGGGCAGGCTCCCCTGGAGAGCAGCACGAGGAAGCCCATGGCGATCAGCTGCCCGGCGGCCTGCACGCCGCCCACCAGGGGCAGGGGGACGCCGAGCACCAGCAGCGTGGTCGGCACCGCCGCCGCCTGGATGTTCATCTGGAGCTCCGTGACGCAGAACGCCCCCGCGATGAGCCAGTCGATCCACGGCACGTGCTCTCGGGGAGCCTCCAGAGGAAAGAAAGGCACGCGCATCCACCTTCGGGCTGCGCGCGGAGCTCCAGAAGTCCCACCAGCCCTCTTGGGCGTGAGTGGTCTGATAAGCCAGTTCTGCTAGGCCCCTTCTTGCCCCAACCCCGCCCTGGGTCTGGAAGGGGGAGGCCGCGAAGGGTTGGAGCGTCCAAGATGGCCCCAAAGGCTCCAGGATAGCCCCAGAGAGCTCATGACGGCCTCCAAGATCGCTGAAGATAGCCCAAGATGGTTCCAGATAGCTTCCAACATGCCTGCAGGAGCCCTCAAGACCACCTCAGGACGGCTCCAAGTGCTCTCCGAGCCTCCCAAGGAAGCATCCAAGAGGCTCTAAAATCCGTCGGCACTACATAAGCTTCAATGTGGTGTGCCGTCTCGCCTTTTAGGTTCCGATGCTCAAGATGGCTCCACGAAAACCCCAAGAGAGGCCCCAAGAGGGGCCAACGAGGGGCCCAAGACGACCCCAAGAGCGCCCAAAGAGCGCCCCAAGAGCGCCCCCTTCAAGCAATTTTCGGGCCCTGGCGGGAGGGCGGTAATCCCACCAGCCCTCTGGGCGTCGGTGGTTTAACGCGTTTCCTCTTCCACCCCTCCCTCTTCCCCTTCGGGGAGGGGTTTACCCCTCCCCTTAATTACCCCCTCCCCACTGACCTGGACAGGAGGGGCGGGGAGCGGTCAGAGCGTCCAAAACGGCCTCGGCGAGGAAGCCAACAACATTGATTTGACTATGGTTTGGGCCCCATTTTGGCCTTCTGAGGGGGCAACGCTAATTAAGGCTCCCCTCTTCTTTGATCGATTTCCTCCACGATGGCCGCAAGAGGCCCCCAGGATGCCCCAAGAGGCCGCAGGATGGCCCCAAGATGGCCCCAAGAGGCCCCCCAAGAGGCCCCCAGGAGGCCCCCAAGAGACCCCCAAGAGGCCCCAAGATGGCCCCAAGAGGCCCCAAGAGGCCCCCTGGAGGCCCCAAAGAGGATCCCGAACGGCCCACAGAGGCCCCCCCGAGGCTCCCAAGACGCCGAAAAGCCCCTCAGGACGACCCTCTACTCGCCTGGGCGTCGTTTCTGGACGGGCTGGTGGGGATACGCGAAGCGTCTAGAATTTACGCCGCCTCCTTTCCTGCTCGATGGCCTTCAAGATGGTCCCAAGAGGGCCCGGAAGGCCTCCAAAAGTGCTCCAAAAGACCCCCATCCCCCCCTCCACCACGCCCCTCCAAACCCATCTCCACACCCCGCCAGACCCCCCTCCACCCCCTCCAAAGTTCCCGAAGAGCTCCAGGCAAGCTCCCAGAAATCTCTGCGCCGTCGTCGTCACTCCACTGCGTGCTGCTGTACACATCCTGGTCAGGGCGGCCCCCCTGGCGACCGCCCTTGGATGGGCTGGTGGGGAGACGCGAAGCAACAAGAATTCTACTCTTTTTTGCCGTCGTCTCTTCCCGGGGCCTCCTCAACCAGCGCAGGCTCCTCTGGGCCCTCGCCGTACGGCGGGGCTCCCCCCTTGGCGCCGCTGGGGTATCTCCGGTGCTGCGCCGCCGCCAGCGCGAGGTACAGGCACATGACGCACATCGCCGTGGCGACCACCGCCCTCCAGCCGAGCGCCTGGTAGAGGGCCACCGGCACCACGAAGGCGACCACCGTGCCGAAGTTGCGCGCCGCGCCGGACCACCTGGGAGACACGCCGAGCAGCGGGCCCCGCGCGAGGCCTACGCGGGCCGCCGGCGCGGCACGCTGCACTGGAGGCGCGGGCGTGCACGCGCGCGGCCTTCCGCGGGGAGCCTGCGCGCAGGTGCCGCGTGCCGGCGGCCCCGTGTGCCGGCGGCCCCGTGTGCTTGCGTGGCTCACCTGGCGGCCAGGGTCAGGCTCTCCACGCTGGAGCCCGCGGCCAGCTTGCCGTGGACGGAGAGGTGGGCGCGCACGAAGGTGAGGCCGCCCGCGGCGGACATGGCCAAGATGGCCCAGGTCTCCTCCACGGAAGCCACAGGGGTACCGTACAGCTGCGGCAGGTTCGCGTCGTGTCGACCCCGGCGCTGGTTCCTGACGCCGCGGGGATCGTTCGAACTTGAACGATCGGCCCTTTCAAAGAGGCCGGATCATTGAGGATGGGCCGATTCTGGGCCACAAGCGGCGTTCAACCTTACACACCCGCGCTGGGGTCGCCGCCGGTCGACACGACGCGAAGCTGCCGTATATTCCCCAGACCTCTCCCTGAGTGCGCTCTGACCCGAATGTCGAGGAGGATCCAGCCGCGGCGACGGGGGCTCTCCAGGACGAGCAGCGGCATATCAGCATCTTCTCCTCTTCATGATCCTCTGGCCAGACGAGGTTCACTCCGAAGCCCACGAGCCCCACCAGCATGCAGACCATGTCGGTCCTGACCCCGAGCCGGGTGGCGAGCACGTTCGGCACGATGCGGACGCCGAGGTTGGCCGCGAAAACGAGCCCGAGCACGTGGAGGCCGAGGCCCAGGTCCTTGAAGTAGGCCGCGAGGGGGATCCAGAGCAGGTCGAGCAGGAACTGGAAGCACCACGACATCAGGGTCACCCGGTAGATGGGCGCCATGGGCCCCGGGGTGGCCCCGCCGCGCTCCCCGCGCTGCGGGGCGCTCGCTGCCGGCGGAGCCATGCCCCTCCTCGCGAGCTGCCTCCCCTCGCCGCGGGCGGCCCGAGCCAAAGGGACCTGCGGCCGTGCTCCTCGCAGCGTTGCGCTCTGCCCCACGCCTGGCGACGCGAGCATGCCGCGACCGCGGGAGGCGAGATAGGCCGTGCCCGCGCGTCGCGCCGGGTGTGGTGCGCGCGGCTTCCACCGGGCATGCGGCGCGAGGCCAGGCCTTCTCGTCATGGCTCTGCCTCCTCCCGGTGTGGCCACTGCTGCCGATGCCGCTGCGACTGCCACCACCATCAGCACCACCGCTACCACTACCGCTACCACTGGCTACCGCTGCAACAACTACAACTACCGCAGCGTCAACTGCCGTTGCAACACCCACTAACACTAACCCATCCACCACGGGAGCCACTTCCACGATTATTACCAGCATCACTACCACTCCCACTGCCACTGTAATCATTACCACCTCATCGACGTTCACTCGCGCTGAGACTATGACTATCACTACCACTACCGCTAAAACGAGAACCCGTATAAACATCAAAACGTGTACTGCGAACAAGGCTGCGGTAGCGAACGATGTCCTAACACGAAATGATACTACAAGTGCTGCTGCCGCCGCTGTTGGTACTACGGCCACTGTGCGACTACTCCGACCACTACTGCAATGTTCAATTCCATCAGAAGTCCTGCTACAGCTACCACGGCCACCACCAGCACCATTATCACTACCACTACCACGGACGCTGCTGCTACAACCAGCTCTGCCACTACCAGCCTTAGCACCCGTACCAGCACAAGCAACAGTGCCAGTACGCCGCTAAATCCCCTCGGTCTCTCCTCCCCCTCCTCCGCACCCTCCCTGCTGCTCATACGTCCTCCTCATCCGCCTCATCCTCATCCCTCCCACCTCACTCCCTCTCTCCAACCTCCCACCTTGCAACAACACGGGACCACAGCATGCATCGATTGCGAGGTGAGGAAGCTGAGAGAAAAGCAGAAGCGACCAATCAGCACTCGCACATCAGCCCCCTCCTCCTCCTCCTCCTCCTCCTCCTCCTCCTCCTCTTCCTCCTCCTCCTCCTCCTCCTCCTCCTCCTCCTCCTCCTCCTCCTCCTCCTCCTCCTCCTCCTCCCCCTGCTCCTCCTCCCCCTCCCCCCCCTCCTCCTCCTCCCCCTACTCTCCTCCTCTCCCTCTCGGCTTGCATTCGAGAGATGGGCTGGCACGTTAAAGATCAGGTATAAGAAATGTATCAGAAACATTGGTTTTGATATGCATGGTGGTCGTGTTCACAGGCCAGTGGCGAAAGCCCGAATCGCCAAGCTGAAGTCTCGGATGCCAAGGGTTTTATTGTTGAAGAAACCTGGTGGACAGGTGCACAAGTTGTGG